TTAAAAGAGTTCACATCTAAAAAAAAGTCAGGAAAATTTCCATATGAAAAATGGTTTTCGTATAATATCAATTTTATTTTGGATTTTAAAACTTTACAACTATACCAATTTTAAGCTAATGAAAGTAATTATGAAGCATATTTTCTTCATGAATTAGGTTCCCTAAATCAAGTATTAATTTTTTTTAATCATCAATTTATTATAAGATACTGTAATTGCGTCCTGCTATTGGCAACCTGCTTATAAACGTCTGAGAACACATGCAGGGTAAAACTGCCTACTTTGTTTCATGTATAGGCGCCAGGGAGGCGCCAGGGAAAGACATTAATTGGAGAAAATATGAATACCATCCTTCGTCAAAAAATCATTGAAATAAAAGATAAAATATTATTTTAAGGCCTAAATGCTTGCTTTGAAGCTGAATTATACAATTTAAATTTATTTAGTCATTGATTCTTTTTTGACAAAAGAAATTTATATACAGTTAAATGCAATTTTTTTAATTTAATATAATTATTGAACTTTGATGTCGTTTCAATTAATTTTTGGATTAATTTTTATCATGGCCAATCAGATGAAAAATATCCATTGTTGCGTTTTAAATTCGTTGCAACCGTTTTTCACCAACAATCAACTTTTAAATCATTTGAATTTTTTATTTAAATAGATTCATTGTTGCAGAGAATTTTGTGAGTCAAGTCATTCGGTTTGGTCTTTCCTAAATTCATCGAGTAAAATTCTAAAATGGATCCCGAGACTGCGCTTCAGGTGCCCGAAGTCCCCTCTCAGCATGAGACGGATGCAGTTCATCAAGCTGATAAGAAAAAGAATATTCTCGAGTTGATCGAGCGGATGGAACAGATTGTCCACCAGATTGAAGAACGAGCGTCGGAAAGTGAAATGATGGATTTGAGACGCGAGCAGCTTCAGACCCTGGAGGAGAAGGTGATCATCGAGGACCAAAACAACCGGTCATTGACAAGACATCTCCTCGCGACCAAGAGACGCCATGATGAGAGGGAGGAGGCATTGGATGAGCGAGAGAAGAGACTTGCCAATCGAGAGGAGGCTGTGAAGAGGTTACAGGAGCAGGCCCTGGAGAAGAGCGAACGACCAGAGGAGTTGAATTTGTCCGAGAGGACGAGCGCGACCTGCGAGTGCAGTACTGCGAAGCGCTGGAGTTTTTGGCCGTTCTAGCTGATTCTAGATCGGCTGGAATTTTACTCGTTAGATTAAACCACATCCGTTTCTAGATAAAAATGATAATGTATTTTTATTGATTCTATTGCAATTTATAGTTCCTTTGTTTTGGGGTTGAGAAATTCTGTGTAAAGCTGAAATAGAATGGTAAATTCCTCTAATTACAGAATTTGAGCCCTTTTTCTGTTTGGGCTTCTTGCTAAATTTCTTTTACCATTGCTTTCAAATTCAATATTTGATACATTTTATATTTTAATCATTTTTAATTACAAAAATAAATGTAAATTTCATAATAATGTACTATTTTTAATTTTAAAATGTTAAAAATATTTGATAGTTCATTACTAATATAAATTTTCTCCATGATTTTGAGAAAGAATACTATTGCAAATGAAATATAGAAGTTTTTTACTTGCATCTTAAAATTTTTGTATTAATAATCTATTGTTTTAGTCTGTAGCATTGGCCACGATTGAAAACGTCTTCACTTAACAATTATGACTCTTTTATTTTAAATTGTGTTATTTTTGTACTATTCAAAATTTCAGTAACATTTTGTGGTGTAAAATAAAAAACGTTACTCTTTCCCTTATTTGGATTTTCAGATCATAGTCAAGCACTTTTTTTAGCTTAAACTTGAAATAAAAAGCGTCCAGAAAACTTTTATATCATATTTGACGTCCGTTCTGCGCAACTCTTCTTGTTATGAATGCGCATAAATTGCCAGCGCGAGATGAAATTTAATGAACAAAAATTTACGACCGCTCGCCAATAAATCATTTCTGCTCGTGGCGTGGAAATGACGAAAATAATTGGTTCTCCCAGCGCACAACGCAAATATATGTGACCTTTGATCATTTCAATTATTTATTTATTATATTGGCAAATGATTCGAACAGATTTCTGTAGCGACCAAATTCATCAGCAAACCCGATATGTAAATAATCCAGAAGGGCTAATTTCATAATAAATTGATAGTTTTGAATTTGGTTGGATTTTACTTTTTAATAAATAACAATAATTTTTATTGAAAATACAATTAAGGTTTTATTATTATGGATTTAATCAACAAATTACTTTATCAAATCGTTGTAAGTTGGCCTATTATTGATTAAAAACAAATGATGCAAATGATTAAAACATAATCTATTTATTTGAAAGTTTTTATTCTGAAAATACCTTCTCTGTTGAAAATCGACTGAGAATATGAAAAAAAATTGCATAGCCTTAATAGTATTCAAAGCAAAGCAGATTACAGAAATAAAGTCTTGATTTTTTTTTACAATTTACGCAATAAATGATTTCAATAAAAATTACGAAGTATTTATTTGTGTTTTTAATGGTTTTTTACTGGTAAAATTGTACCAAAATTCATAAAGCGCTTCAAATTCTCACATTCACGGCGAGTCTTGTTTCTTTTTAATTAATAGAGCGAGTGCGATAAGAAAAAGAAAAGGCGGAAGCCGCTATCGTCTCCAGGGCGTCCGCCGCGTGCTTATTTTGGCCGCACCAAAAACAAGAATTACAGGAGGACGCGCCGCGACGAGATGAAACAACGCTAATCTAGCGCAGCCGTCGGCGGCTAACGAGTTTCCTTATCAACGCACACGCGCCCGCAATTTTTAATGTGCGGTTCTCTCTCTCTCGTTCGCTCATGTTTTTCCGCTCGCGTTCCCAGTTTTCATTTGTTGCGAAATTAAAAAAGCGCCAAATCCAACCCCGAAACTGCAACAAATACTGAATGATAGTATGAACCTAAAGAATTAAAAGAACAAAAATTTGGACTGAATTCATAAGTTATTTGTTATAATAAACATAATAAACTAAGGACAGTCACAGCATAATTTAATTGTCAAGTAAATTATTTGAGACACGCGTTCTTCGAGGAAGTAATCATAAATTAATTTAAATTTTGAGTCCGTAATGTACCAGATGAACTAGTTTATTGTTTGTTTTAATACACTATTTAAAAAGAGAACATTTTTATAAGTTCAACTTTTGTTGAGAAATATTAGAACTGATTAGAACATTTGAATGAATACACCAAATAAAATTAAAATAAACTTTTATTGGACTAATAGCTCAATTGTTTCGTTTAATTAAAAAAAAAAAATGAAGATGTATTTGGAATTATAATTCAATAATATTTTTTTCCCTTTCAAAATCATATTTATCAACATTAGGAGCCAAAAGGAAAAATTAAATCTCGCAAAGTTTTCCAAAAGAAATAAAGGACGAAATAAAATGATTGTTTGCAATTGCCTCTAAAAATAATCTATAAACGTGTACATACATGCATCCTTACTTAAGTCGTGAAAAGCAGTAAATTTGAGAGTTAAAACCAAACGTATTTGTTTTCTTATAAAGTTTTGTGGAAGCAGTTTGTACTGTTTTCCTCTAGAAACAGGCAAAAATATAATGAAACACAATTATTGTAAAATTTACCAACATATTTTTGCAACAAATTAAGTTCTGGACTAAAAATTGGTGCATTTTTACTGCGATCTTAAAGCAAATAAAAATTAGTATGGAACTTTTCGATTAGATTGCTTGTAACGACATTTGTAGCCAATGACATCTTTGCCGTTTCCGGCGCTAATTAACTCGTCCGGTGCGTGTGGGCGCGGAAAAATTTTGCACCGCAGTTTGTGCTGAGCAAGGGGAGCAGCTCGACGGACCGCACACACGTGTCGGCGGTCGGGAAATCACGTGCGATTTGCTCAATTAGTGCGACCGCACTCGCACCGATTGATTCTCGGTGGGGCGTCTCTGCTGACCAGAATCGAAATGAGATCGAGTCCAACAACAACCGCACCAAACATTGATCCCGCAATGGAAAAAGTTTAAAAAAAAAAATATTATTTTGGCTGCCCAAAAATTGCCTTGAAATAGTTTTTTGTCTGCGTTTTACTTCAACTCCTTTCCAAATTTAAAAATTGATCATAAACATCCAGGTTGTTTGCTCGCTCATTTGTTAAAACAGAGACAACCCTGTGCGCCATTAATTATGAAGTATGGACCGGAATGACAATTAGTATTGCCGCTGCAATTGCGGTGCAATAATAATGCATTGTCTCTGCTGTCGACGGACCTCCCAGTGTGTTCAAGTGGTATTCATGGCATAGCTGTAGAGGAATTCGATCAGTTTTCAATGCAGGTGGGCACCGCAATTGTTCGGCCCAAACATAGTATTAGAGGCGCGTGACCGCAAATCGTTAGACGAAAATCGCTTTGTGCGTCAAGTTAAGCGTTTTATGTTTTATTGTTAGAAGTACATATGAGCCTAACAGAGGAGGAACTTTATTAAAAAAAAGTGTTCAAAAAATGAATACAAATGGATATGGTTTCCTATTTGCCATAAACGATTGCCAAAAACCTAATATAAGTCATACACAGCGTAATAGTTTGTTCGTGGAAATCAAAGACAAAAAATAATAAAAATAATAGTGTTTTGGAGTTATTTTTGTGCATGCTGATGACGGTTAATTTGTGCAGAAAATATTATAATCTAATCAAATTTTGAAAAATGATAAACAAATTAATTGCATTGTGTTTCATTTGTTATGGACTGGACTTATATTAAACTGTATAAAATTGTAACAATTTAAAGAAATTAGCATTATTTCCGCGCATTATTTTTATATAAAATTACAGATCTTTTCTCATTCGCGCAATATTCCTGCATTTGCGGCTTTTTGGTGCCTTGTTTGGTGCTGTCCAGTGGAAGAAACATAAAAGGAGAGTGCAAATTGGGGAGATGCGCATGTGGATCGAACGCAGTATGGTATGGATGCACACAAGAAGAATTCTTAGCCAAAAACGCGTGTCACGGCAGGCATAATTTTGCGTTCATGATTTAAAAATAAACTTTCTAAATGGTCATTCTGTTTCTTTACATTTTTTGGCAACTAAAGATAAACATAGCATAACACGATATAAGGAAATGCAGAAAATTATTGTTCTTAAATTCGTATCTCCCCTCTTTTACTCTTCCGACGACGAAGTAAACAAAAGCAGAAAATCATAGAAGAACAAGAATCCGGCTTTCGTTTCTGTCCCGGCTGTCCTCCCCAGGACACAGGCACGCAGGTTTGACAGGGACGAGACGATTAGAAACAACACTCGAGGCGTCCCGGGCGTCCGCTGCAGTATTTATTTGTGCTCTAAAGAATAGATCAAGATGGACAGCCACAACAACTTTGCAAGTATGAAATGAAAAAAAATACTGATTTTTTCAGAGAGTTCATAAATATTTTGTGTTTATTAATTAATATTTAGTCCGCTAAATTATAAGCTATGAATTAAAATTAAGTGTATTTTTGTTTTAGACATGGTTCTTAAGCAAGACGCAACTCGAGGACTTATTGCTGCAGCACAAGTTTTGCACTCAAAGGTTTTCAACCTTGTTCCTCTGCAGGAGCTGTGCATGAGAACCATTGCTGTGAATCTGCCGAAATTCGCGGCAGTCCCTCAGTTGATTGACTGCCTGCGTAAGTAACCTTTATTTTAAACTTTTTATTATTATTGATCATGTATTCTCTGTTTCTTTGGCAGCTCCAAGATTGAAGTCGGATATTTTACACAATTTGCAAGTTATGGCGAGCTATAAACAATCTAATGATTCTCTTTTTTATGTGGAAAGAGCAGTGCAGGTTCCAGCTAGGGGAAATTCCTCTTCTTCTTTAAAGGTTCGATCTAAATATGAGTAGTGTCATATAAGATAAAAAATTATTTTGCAGTTAAAGAAAAGAGAATCAGGTTGCAGTGCCCCAAATGCTGTGATTCCTTCAAGTATCCTCCTGCGGCTGATCAACTCCACCCTGACCAAGTTTGACTTTACCCTCTGTGGTATAAGTCAACAGCTTTTCAAATCCAATGGATTGGATAAGCAAATATTGCAATTGTTTGCTGAAAACCCTGAGGGCATCACGAGCATTGTTGACCAGCGCATTTTGAGATACGCAGGCCGCGATATTCCACTCCCTGCTGGCAGCTGCATCATTGAATACCTGGAGAAACTTACCAACCTGAAGCACCTTGACCTGCCCACCAAGTTCAATGATGGTAAAATTTAAATAAATATATTTTTTTGATTTGAAAGCATGAATTTTAGTTCTCTCCAACTTGCAGATGACCTGGAGAGGCTTAGTAAAGGTTGCCGCCAGTTGAAAAGTGTGAATCTGGGTTATTCTACAGCCCTGACCATCAAAGGACTGCAAATTTTGAGTATACTCTCCCGCATTTGGAGAAAATTACCGTGAGTCCTTTTTCAAGGGGATCAACTAAACACTCGAACTTTGATTACCAAGATGCTATCAATTTGATCCCTCATACCTCAAGGAAATTGATTTGGAAAGTAAGGAAAAACATTAACTTTTGATTTAAACAAGAATAAGCTCCCTTAAATTTTGTATATTTTTTTTTCAAATTAATTGCAGCCCCCTTTCACTTTGACTACCTGGACATTCGAGGACGAACCTACGGCTTTGAGAGATTCCACACATTACTTGATGGCTGTACTGATCAGTAAAATTCTTAGATGTTTTTTAACGGTCATATAGTCTAAATGTCTGCTTGATCCGCTTACAGACTTCCAACTTGTCTGCCTAATTTAAAGGAAGTTAAAATCAGTGATGCAGAACTGCAGTTTCATGGTTCAAGTTATACCTTTGATGATGTTGTTCCCTCACCCATCATCCTCATCCAACTGCCACTCTTAACTGCTCTCACCGTGAATGACAACGTGAATTCTGGCGAAGTTGCCCGGAGCTATTTAGACCGAGCTGACTTTGTCCTGTCTGGCCTTAATGTGAGACTCACTCGCCTTACCCTCCAGTGTAGTGTAGGTGACATGGACTTGTTTGGAATTGTCCTCCTCTGCCCCAACCTAGTGTTCTTGGAGGTTGATGGCGTCTTCAATCAAAATTTCCAGACTGACTCCAACAACATCAACCCACAACTTCTGAAGCTTGAGGAGCTGCGGCTCGAATGCACTAGTATAGCTCAAGCCAGCAATCAAGCCAATTTTTTCAAGCTTCTCTTAGCACCCAGGTTGCACACCGTACGCCTCATAGATGTCTTCATCTCTCCAGAAGACAGTGTGGAACCATTTTTGCAGAACCTTGTTCACTTTGATTCCAGTTGTAAATTTGCTCTGCCGGCTCGGCTGCCATTGCCTGAGGTGTACGTTCGACATGTCACATTCTTGAAGAACATTGTTTTGAACTGTCCTAAGTTGGAAACCTCAAAGTTTTATGTGCGCATCATGAAGTCTTCATTCTGGCCAACTTTGAGGATAACTCCTTGCTGTCATCCACTCTGGACATTGAACTAATGGATGTCTCGCCCAAATTCCGCTGTAATTTTTCTGTTAAATGTTCCCTTTAATCATTTCCTTATCCTGCAGTGCACTTTTTAGCAGACACATAATATTTGCATTTTTGAGCAGAACACAGTTGCTCTGGGGTTCAACAGTGTCTCTGAATAGCAAAAAATTGCATTGCAGCTCTCGTATTAAAAATGTTTTAAATATGTTTTGCGGTCTTGCCATCCCATTAATATCTAATTAATTTGATTTTATCTCAAGAGAACTGATATATTGTTTGCGCATTTAATTGCCATCTTGGTGAACTCCAGCAAAATGTGTGTTAAAAATTTGATATAAAAGACTGCGATCAGATGTTGTGATGGTTCTATAATTTAAAAATAAGTTTTGTGATTGGCTAGATGAGTCTCAGCAAGAGAAATATTTGGATGTCAAAGAATCCAACAATTTTATTTTTAATAAAGGCTTCAAGTGGTCCCTCCACCTCCAACTTTAAAAACCATGTGGATTTTGTTCTAAAGTATAAGTGATGTAATTCTTTTTGTGTCAAGAATTATTGAATAAATAAAACAATTTCCACAATTTTTTTTTTTAATTTCGGTCATCAAAATCTTAAAATCAATATGAATAACATTTTGCAACATAATTGTATTACTATAAAAATTAAAGAAATAATCCAAATAATATTAAGCCAAATTGGTGAAAGGCCTAAAAATGAACAGAATTTTAATAGCGCTAATACCGCTTAAAACTATTAAGAAGTCTCTCAATATATCTAAACTCTCATTATGTTTTTCTTTGTACTTTTAAGCCACTTGACATGTCTACCAAAAGCAACAAGCTATAGTAACCCATTTTGCTTCAATATTTTACATTATATGGGATAAATAGACTCTTTCCAGTTGGAGTCTTTGATGAGTCTTAACAATTTGGAATTAATTGAAATACTTTTTGTATTTCCCACAAGATCCAGTAAAACATGTATTTATATGACCTTACAAAGAACATTTCCAACATTAAAATAACAATTGATTGATATTATTTAAAAGAAGTTAATTAAAAAAATGCTTTGATCCAAAAAATATATTCAAAATAATGGAAAAATCACAACAGTGCACAACTCATCTACGGTGGTGAAAGCAGTTCGAGGACCTGCTCGGGTTTCCTGGGCATCAGAATGGAAGGATTTTGGTACAGGTTGGCCGGATCGTGCACCGCCTGGTAAAGCTGTTTGTAGATGGCGGCGATCACCTCACATGAGCGTTTTTGCACCACCTTGCGGAAGGTTGAGCTCTGCAGAAGGCGAATCTGCGGCAGTAGCAGAATGTCTGGCATGCTCAGAAAACTATCCAGCTTTGACTGTAAAAAATTAAATGCCAAAAAATGAGTATTTTATGTATCTCAAAAACAAACCAGAAAGTTTTTCAGTGAGGCAGGGTCCATCCCTGGTGTTGTGCTCAGGTGGCTTTTGTCCGGTTCCTGCAGGATGGTGTAGATCGGGCTGAGACTCAGATTGGCTACCAGGAAACTGGTCTGCTCTGAGGTCAGCGTATCGATTTGCGCCTCTGACTGAGCCTAACCAAAAAATTAAGATTTCTTCACAATTTCTCAATTGAATTAAAAACCTGGAGCCTCTCGAGTCTGTCCTCAACGTACTCATAAAGAGACAGAGTGGACTGGAGCTGGTAGATGCAGTTGAGCATGTAGACGGCCATGTCTGTTGAGGGCAACCTGAAGGCGCTTTCGTTCACCACCTGCAGCAGTGGGTCCACTATGCATGCAATTATCTGCAAAAATTTCTATTAATTCTTAATCTTAATAAAATTGAAACAGAAATACCTGGGAAATATCTTGTTTCCTCTGCTCGGCAACGGTGGTGGCCGCCAGGACGTCTCTGAGGAGGCTCATTATTCTTGTGATGCCAGAGACAGGGGTGAGCTCAGAGGGTGGAGGCTCAATGCGGTCACTCAGACGCTTGACTTGGACGTCCAGAGTTCGGACAAAGGCAGCAAAACTGGCAGTGTGCAGCTCTTCTAAGTTGTTGTCCAGAATTCCTCCGCTCACCACCTAAATTCAAATAACTTTGAATTTTAAATAAACATCACCATTATTTTCAGACTAGCCTCTTTAATGACTTTCTGGTAGAACCTGAGCAGGTTGGTGATGGCGTACAGGACGGTGGCCTCAGCGTCGTTGGACAAAATCTGCTCCATCCTAACTTTCAAAGGTGGACAAACGCCTTCCGTAATGTTTGTCATCGTCTGATGAATTTGCTCCTCAATTACTGGCAATTTCAAAATTAGAATAAAATATTTGGATGACCAGGAAAAAATTTAAGGTTGAGACTAAAACTACTTAATTTTAAATTAGAAATATATATTACTAGAGTGGTCGCATTTTCTGAGCAGCGTCTGTAGATTTTCTGCTTCAAGGGGAATGGCCTGGTGCAGCCAAGCGAGCATGTCTCCGACGTAACGCTGGGGGTCATGGGCGTGCATTTCAATGGGTTTGGGGGTGCCTCCTGGACCACCTAGGGTCAGGGCGTCCAAGAAGCCCCTGACTAGTACTGCCCGTCGAGCCGTTGCATACTCATCCAGGACGTACCTTCAATTTTCTTATGTAGAACAATTTTTTTTTAGATATAATTTAAATTTCTCACTGGAAAAGGACAGGGCGTTCGAGGAGCCAGAGCATGGCGTCGGAGAGGAGGAGAGCCACTTCCGGCAGCTCGACGTGCTTGCAGTTGGCCTGAGTCCAGCGGTAGAGGCGCTCGAGGCCAATCTCCTGGTACAGGGCCATCTGCTCCATGACGTCAAGGGCGGCCGTCTGGTGGCCGGCCTGCAGCAGCGAGCGGCAGTCGCTGTGGATGGTGTTGACCCTGGCCAGGACGGGGAAGAAGGCCTTGCTCAGGGTGCCCTCTTGGTTGCCACGCAGCTGCGCCTGCTCCTCTGCGTCCAGTTGGTACGCCCTGAGGAAGGCGCTGGCCACCTCTTTCTGCACGCCCAGCTTTTGACTGCAGATATTGAAATAAGAAAAAATGTTGCAACTCTAAAAAAAATTTTACTTTTCAGACTTAAGACGCGTTGTCTGTTCGATCAGGTTGTGCGTCTTAGTTTTGGTGCTGTGAAGACTGACCTTCATCTCCTTCACCATCTCGTTCATCGACGCCACATCACTGTGGATGCCGTCCAGTGCCTCTTTTACCTTTCTCAACTCACCGAGGAACTCCTGTATATTGCAGTTAAAGCATGGAATATAAAAATTAACTTTGATAAAGACCTCATTGATGCAAAGACTCTGCTTTTCAATCTGACTGACAAAGTTCCTTCTACCCTGGAGGGTGTTCTCCTTGTAGAAAGATGATAACTCTTTAAGAGCCTCCAGCGTTTCCTACGAAAAGTACAAATCGGTTTAAATTTTAGTTATATTTTGAGAATTTCATAAAAAAATAATAATGATAATAAATCACACAAACTTTATCATTTTCCAGTCGCACGTCTAAAATTTTCTTCAGTCTTTTGTTGAGCTGATTAGACACCGCGGTTTCGTCTGTCTTTTCACTCATCGCTTTTTCTAAATTTACAATAAAAAATGTAAAACTTTCAGAAAAGCCGAAAGTGCCACATAAATGTTTTTATAAAAAGCAAAAATTCTAGTTGATTCTAGTTTGGCTGTAAACAACCCAGCCCACTTTCTTGAGCATCTCATTGGTTGCCGTTATTGTAAAATTACGCTCATTGGCTAACATGTTTTCTTCGCATTCGCAAAACAATGCAAACCAACAAAGAAGGAATGGCAAACCAAATTGTTAATGTTGCCACCCATATGGAATAAAATTCTTTATTATTAGGGCTCAAAGGTTTTTTTACAATACAAATATCAATTATTATAAAAAATTATCATCAAATTTTTTTCTTAAATTAAATTATCATCAGTACAGAACCAAAATTATATTTTAATATTTTTGCTCCTTTATATTTTTAATATGTTGGCAACAATGTTGTTTTCTGAACAACAACAAAAAGACAGATGCGTACAAACTAGGGAAATTCGAATTTTCCTCACAAATTTTATAAACTGTTATAATTCTGCACGCAGTCTCGGCCCCTCAGCACTACTCTCTGCGATCATTTCTGAAGGTGGATTATCATATAATTATCCGATTAAAATCCGTGCAGAATTCCTTTCTTCAAGTCAAATTCCAGGCTGCGATTTCGTTCAATGTCCGCCCTTGCTGAATTCATCGGAGGATGATCGCGATTTTGGAGGGGTTAGTGAAGGGCATTGGCGCTGCGGCCAATCTGACCGTCGAGGTGCTCAGCTTGAGCTACAAATGCGGCGCCCTGATCGTGGCCGCGGTGGCCGCCGTCGGCCGCTTTGCCCTCACATGTCTCTCATCACTCGCCAGCCTGGTGTCCATCCTGTACCAGGACTTCTGCTTCTTCAGCTGCGACCTGCTGTCCAAGGTGGTAGACGCCGTGAGTCTGACGGCCAGTTTCTTTGACGGCCTCTTCTCCGTCCTGAGGAACGCCTTCCTCGGCGTCAGAAACGGATTCGCGGCAGTTTTTGGCTCATGCGCTGACGGCCTCTTTTCCGTCCTTGATTTATTAGTCCAGGCATGTATAAAATATGTAAATCCATTAATTTAATTTCACAAATTGAATTATTTGCAGGCGTGGGAGGTGGTGCTTCAGTCAGTGGAGCTGCTGAAATGGGCGTTGGTGGTGGTGGGCCAGGGCTTCTGGTTTGCCGTCCAGTTGGTGCCCCTCTGCATCATCTACCTCCTCTACAGTGCCCTGAGTTTGGTGGTGGCGATCGTCGCCGAGGTCGCCGACCAGGCTCACATGGCCTGGACCTTTTGCTTAGGCAAGGCTGGTGCTGCAGCCAACTGGTGCTTTGTCTTGCTCACCGACTTCACCGTAGAAGCCTTCATGGGCCTTGCGTCCATCTTCATCCTGAGCTACTGGCTGCACCGTAGACGGACTGCCATCAAGAGCACGGCCGCCAGGGCCCTTCGATGGACGGCTCTCAACACCAAAATGGCTGCTAGGTTAATTTTTAATCCACCTTAATTTAATTCAATTTGAAATGATTTGAAATCACTTACTCAAAAGTAATTTTAATCTGGCTATCTGCAATAAACAATGTTTGTAATTTTACAATAGATAAAGCAATGAAATTTAAATGCTTCAAAATTATCAAAGATTTTCCTAATTTTAATCGGATGAAATAATTTCATAGGAAAATGTGGTGCACGTTGGTTCAGTTTCTACACATGAGCCGCAGCGGGCAGACCTTCCGATGGCGCCGACCCGAGGACAGTGACGAGGAGGACGTGCCGCTGGCGCTGAGGCTTCGGGCTCGCAAGAGCGTCAGCCCTGGCAACCTGAAGCGGCAGCTGCTGATGGAGCAGGAAGAAAAACTGTGTGTGGTTTGCTTGGAGAAAAACAAGTGTGTGATCCTGATGCCATGCCGACACCTGTGCATGTGCTCTGACTGCAGTGCCGTCATCTCCAACACCACCAGCGCCTGTCCCATTTGCAGAACAAACTTTGACAGGGCCGTCGTAGTCTTCATGTAAAAACACGGAGGCAGAAAAATCATGGCTGTGGTGCCTCTTGAGTTGCAATTTGATTGCATTTGCTATTTTTCTGAAGATTCAATGATATTTTAATACATAGACTTTCCATTGTTCATAAAAAAATTTCAGTAATTTCTATTTTGCTGAGATTGAAAACTTGTATCAAAATATATCTTTTGAGAGGAAACGTCTAATTAATTGAGAACATATATTGTGTCAATATTCATCAGAGCTAAAATTTTTCAACATCTGCTTACTAATTAACTGTCAAATTCAGCTCAAATTCTTCTCAATAGTAATGAGTACGGAAATCTTATTTGAGATTTTAGAGACTGTTGAGGCACAAAGCAGAGTATTACTCTGCATTTTTTTTTTAATTTTTGTAAATAAGTTGCTTAAGAAAGAAGGCTTCGGAAAAGAAAAAAATGCTTCGACCTTTCAGTACAACTGTGCCTCTTGGATTTATGTATGAGAGTTCAATAAAATATTTTCAGCAAAGCCCTTCAAGATCTCTAGTGTCAAGACAAGTATAAATTATTGAATAACGATCTTAGTTCAATGCCAAATGACACAGTTTGGCTCAAGTTTCTTTTCTGAATTCTTCCACACTTTTATTGAATAAAGATAATTATAAAATGAGAAACAGCTTTTTTACTTTATCTCAGATTAACAATTTATTATATGACAACAAAACCATAATATTTTTGAAAACATAACCAACTATGGCACAATTGTGGGACTTAACTGGCTTGAGTGATTTATGACACCTTACAAGAATCATCATCGTTGTCAACTTGGTCGGTACCTGACATGTCCAGCTCTCCTAGTCTGAGTACAGAGTTGACCGTGGCCCTAGCAAGGTAGCCAGTTGTCAGGCTAGCAGGGGCAGAGTAGAAGGCCTGGCGGTCTGCTCCAACGGCCACTCCTTGGTCCTGAAATTAAAAATATTGAAAACTCTTTTAGATTATGACCTAATTCAAACCTTGCAAAACAAGTGATAGGCTTCGTCAACCAAGTAATCTAGGTCCAAGAGGTTTTTGAAACTGAGCTCCGGGTTGCGTTGTAGGATTTTTGACACAATACAGAGCAGCTGAAAATCAGTACATCAAGTTTCGTTGTATTTTATAAAAGATTCATTTACCTCAACAACGATTTGCCTGTACTCTGGCTGCTTAATATAATTCAGCATTTCCTCGACCAGTAAGGCAAAAGCAATCTCAGACCTGGACAGGTTGGACATAATGTGCTGCTGGGCCAAGAGGCGGCCCTGGACCCTGACTCCCTGTGGAGTCCGTTGCATCACGTCCCAGACCTATTAAAAATTTCATCATTTAGAACAAAAATTAGGATGAATTTGCAGATTAATAGACCTGAAGGTAGAATCCTTGGGGAACCCTGCAGAGACAGCCTTCAAGTTTTCTCCTGGTCAAGGTGGAGAGGCGCTCCTGCTTGGCCCAGTCCTTTACAGAGAGCACCTTGTAGACGAGTTGGCGCAGCTCCTGAGGGCTGAGAGCCTCGACGGGCCTTTGCGCCTTGCTACTGATTTGCAGACACAGTTTCATGGCCTCGAGGACCCAGCCGACCCTGATTTTGAGGATGCCCGAGAAGAGGCCAGGGTTGGTGCCGATGAGGCGGCCACAGTAGAGCACCACCTCTTGCTGCAGCACGGCCCCGATCACGTCTAACGGCTGCACCGTCGAATAGAGCACCTTGCGAATCTCGGCAGGAGTCATCGGCTTGTCGAACACTGTCTCCTGCTCGCCAGGCACGCCCACCGTCAGTTGCTTGCCATGCACCAGCACCGCCGTGATGAAAGGACTGATGCTGTCCACCGTGTGTCCTAACAAACTGCTGCAGTATCGAACCACCTGCCAGCAGTGTAGACACCCTGCGTGGTGGTACAACCCTCTTAAATGCTCATAAACTGCAATACAAAAAAAAAAACGTTATTGATTTTGATATAAATAAGTTCTAATTTAGATTCAATATTTTGTGTGTTTTTATTGCTGAATTGCGTTTCAAGAATAAATTATAAATACTAAATGATTTACCAGTAAGACCACTGTACTCATAGTGGGGCCCCTCCCTCTGAAGAAGGACGCCGATCAGTTTACTTTTGGCGTAGATACCGTCCGTATTTCTGATGGCCTCAACAATGTCCCAAGTCGGACGGTCAGTAAAGTCCTTTAGATTGAGATTAACTAGTTATCAAAATAAATTACAGGATAACCCACAGTTATATCTTTTGCTTTTTCACTATATTCAAGGACTTTCGGAACATCAGTCAAACTCTGGTAGCCGATGTACTCGTGTTCAATTTGCTTGAAAGGCTTGATTTCGATTTCATCCTCAATTTTGTTCATGAAATCAAGATGCTCTAAAAATAGAAAAAAGTCACTTTTACTGATTACATATAAAAAAAGAATCAGATATAAAAATTAGTTGAAAAAAATCAATCGAAGTAATTATAATTATTTACCAATGCAAGAGCTTGAAATGAGATTCTGAAGACGTCCAACTCTAACTTTTAAACCATCACAGTGCCCCTTTTTCAACATGGCCAACAGATCCAGCATTTCCTTGAATTGAGGGTCTCTAAAATAAAAATAAAAATAAAATTTTTGTTTCTAATGTTTCATAAAAAATTAAAATCACCTCATGTGCTCCTCCCTGATCAAGAGACAGGCAGTCGGACGACCAGAAAGGCGCCAATACCTGCCAACGAATTGCAGCTCGGTTTTTATGTCATCAATCAAAAGCGCCATGTCTCGATACAGATAAAACTCTGAGACCTCAAATATTAAAGGGTAGCACAAAACAGTCTTCCCACAAACCCTGTAAATCTGATCAGATTTTTATTATTTTAGTGTGAAAATTAAGATGTTGTAAAAATTACTTTGCTAGTGCCAAGTGCGCCGATGGGTCTGGACGGGCGACCTTCGAGGCCGAGCTGCTTGTTGACGCCCAGATGCTGGTAGATTTTGACCAGTTGAGACGAGGAGCAGATCTGGACAGGCTCGACCTCATGAGGGGTCTGCGTTTGGATGCCGTAGGTGGCCATCATAGCCTGCAGCCGCATCGACTCAGCAATCAGCACCACTTGCACAACCAAATCAGTTGCTGTTCCCTGAAAACAATTCTCAAGTCAAGTTTCTATACAATTAATAACAAAAATAGTACTAAACCTATCAATAAGCAAAATGTCAGCAAAAATGAGAACCAATCCTTCTAACCCATCTGCATAGACTCCTAAAATGCCAGGAAACTTCTTTTGACATTCACTGGCAAAGCTAGCACAAGAAATCAAAGCCAATACAAATAGCGTGAGCTGTTTGCTAATATATTTGACTTTTGACGACTCCTTCACTTCGTCAAGTACTCTCACAGGTGCAGGAAAATTTTCACTAGCATTCACATGCATGAATTAAGTTGCTAATCATACTTACATTTGAAGATTTTGCCTGAAGAGAGTTGGCATTCAAAAATTATGTACATTCGAGAGATGGCCACCAAATTAAATACAAAAATCATTAGTGAAAATCTCCAGCGTTTGAAAAATTTCAATTTCTGTCCCAAATTTTTTGAAATCAGATATATCAATTTAAAAAGTTTTTATTTATGTCCGAAGAGAGAGAGAGAGAAGTAAACAGAAGCATAAATATGGACAAGAGAGCAAAACACAAATAAGAAACCGCCCCAAGAAATTTCTAATGCTTGTTAAATTATATTAAAATACCTGAAAAGCCGAGTATCTTCCCCCCTTCCTGGGTCTGTTATAAGAGGGTAGGTACCTCCTGATGGGATCAAGTTCGTTGATGTGCAAAAGGCCACCAGTCAGCAACTGCGCAATCACAAAGAGCGCCTGTGACCACAAGTGGTATCCGTTTGATGGAGCCCCTCTTCGAATTTGGCTGCCAGGCTCAGCCTTTTCTGCATCCTCGTAGCCAGGCTGAACAGCAAAGTACATTGGAATCACAGGATCTTTGAACAAAATTCTTTGTACGGGTTTCTACACATTTTAAAAACAAAAGCACCTCTATGGCTGTCCGTACTGATTCGAGGACGCAGAAGATTCTGAAACTCCTCCACTTGTTCAGGCAGATTCCTGAAGACCCCATCGATGATCATGTATATGTAGAAGAGTGGCCACTCGCACTCGATTCCCTCAAAGTCCTGAATTAAAATAAGGATCTTCTTAGAATTATAAATTTAACAAAGTTTGCTCACTTTGGTCTGGCCTTCCTTGTAGAACCTCTGGCAGGGGTCCTCCAAAGGACACTTGAAGCCGTCCCTGGAAAACCTCTTAAAGCCGTATTTACCCCTGAGCTTCTGAATGTTGCTCTTGGTCTTGGCCAACAGGTGTTCGTCATGAGAGGCAAAGGCTGGAAAGGAAATGGTCGGCAGCAATGAAACGTCCACTTCCTGCCAAATTATCCTTTTTACAGAATGTTTGAGAATTTCATCAACGCACCTTTGAGCTGCTCTCCCTGGGCAGAAGCGTCTCAAAGATTGATCTATTCCGGTTGTGGGCGTCGATGTCAACGTAGACGACAGACCAGGAGGCTCCCTTGTCTCCGAACAGGTTGCACCCGTTGATGGCTTCGAGGGCTGACTTTGCAATGCCGATCGAGCTGTGATTTGAAACTTGATTATTGCATCAAATTTTAAATCAATTTGCAGACCTGGCGTGGATTTCCGGAGAGCCATCGTTGTACTTGGTGCCCCGTTCCCACATGCCAAAGTCCGGCGTTCGATAAGCCCGCTCAACATAATACACCAAATTCTGGACAAAGGTCACCTCGTCCTTAGTGTACACAATCTGCAGCCCCGACGTGATCATCTGCACCAGGAAGATCAGGTACAGGGACACCACATCAATCTATGAGGAAATTTAATTGCAAGGTTTACATTTTTACAAAAAAAAGTAGCATATCATACTTGGAGGTGGTTGTATTCGTTCTCGGCAAAGATTTGAGCGCCTGTGGTAAGGTGGAACTTGCAGTGCAGGGCGTGTTGCAAGGATTGGTTCTTTTTAAATTGCTCGACCCTGGGCGCCTGCTTGATCCAACACTCCAAAATGCCTCGCATGCATTTGACAGCTGACTGGCCCAGCTCATATGACTTGCCTCGATCATCATCAATTCTCCTGTAGTAAATAAAAATATTGGAATAAATTTTATCAAAATTAAAAAGGGTTTTCACCAAGACTAACCGGTAGGCCTGGTACAAACTCCAGACTGCAGCAGCGCAGTAGACACTGTCCCGCACGCTGCCCACGGTCAGGTCATTGGAAACCACGGGGAAAAGGCCATTGATGCAGCTCTGGTACCGCAACAGTTGTCTCTTCACTATAAGTTTTATTCTCTTATCATATTTTTTAAGCCTTTTTTAGGATCGAACCTGTGCCATAGTAGATATCCAGTTGATGGACTGTTTGTTCGTAGTTGGACGTCTTAAGGTGGCTCTCCCCGCTCGAAGTGTCCGGAGAATTGACTTGGTACGTGCTGGTGTTCCTGCAAAGTAATGTTTTCCTAAAAAGTTCCGCACAAAAACAAATTCAGACTTCTCACATTTCTACTTTTAACGTTTTAATATGGTGTTCCCGATGAAAATCAATTTAATTGCGATAAGGATTATAATACCAGGTTTAGACTCATTTCATTTTTGAGCTGCTAAAGTGCGAATTCAGCAGATTTTGACAAAATTTGGGAACGAACCCGTTCAAGCCTCGTCAAGTTGTTTTCGATTTCGAATTCTACATCTACATTGAAATCATTGAATTCGACCCAGAAGGGCCAAGGGCACGCCCCTGCCCATTCCAAGCCGCCATTGGCTTTGAATGATTGCAAAATAAAATACCGCGCCAAATAAACGTGCATTTACTAAATATATCACATTAACTCCTCGTTCGCATTTAGCAATTAATTCATCAAGTGAAGCATATAGAGAGCCTAAAATAAATTTAAATAGTCTCTGATTCTGATATGAGAGGGCATTCTTGGGATGGGTTGAGCCAGTGGGCCAGCATAAGGAGAAATTTTTCGTTTCCCGCCGCGCAGGCGATCAAGATGGCCGCTGGGTTGAGCTTAGGATGTGAATGTTATTTTAAAAATCCTCCCGGTCTTTTCACTCAGCTAGAACTATTCTTAGGGCTAATTTAAGTTCAATAAAAAATGCGCTTTTTGTTACCAGTTGAAGAATCTTTTTCAGCAGCCAATCGCCGTGAGCGGGATTTATTCCGGTAACAAAAAGCGCATTTTTTATTGAACTTTAATTAGCCCTAAAAATAGTCCTAGCTGAGTGAAAAGACCAAGATTTTGAAAATAGCATATGCACCCTAGGTAACACAGAAAGATCGGAAGAATGAATAAATCCCGCTGATGGCGATTGAGTCCCCTTGGCGTGCGCCATGCTTTTGGCTGTTGAAAAAGTTTCTTCAACCGGTAACAAAAAGCGCATTTTTTATTGAACTTTATTTAGCCCTAATAATAGTCCTATCTGAGTGAAAAGACCAAGATTTTGAAAATAGCATATGCCCCCTAGGTAACACAGAAAGATCGGAAGAATGAATAAATCCCGCTGATGGCGATTGAGTCCCCTTGGCGTACGCCATGCTTTTGGCTGTTGAAAAAGTTTCTTCAACCGGTAACAAAAAGCGCATTTTTTATTGAACTTTATTTAGCCCTAATAATAGTCCTATCTGAGTGAAAAGACCAAGATTTTGAAAATAGCATATGCACCCTAGGGAACACTGAAAGATCGGAAGAATGAATAAATCAATAAATCCCGCTGACGGCGATAGGCTGCTGAAAAAGATTCTTCAACTGGTATCAAAAAGCGCATTTTTTATTGAACTTTAATTAGCCCTAATAATAGGCTTAGCTGAGTGAAAAGACCAAGATTTTGAAAATAGCATATGCTCCCTAGGTAACACAGAAAGATCGGAAGAATGAATAAATCCCGCTGATGGCGATTGAGTCCCCTTGGCGTGCGCCATGCTTTTGGCTGTTGAAAAAGTTTCTTCAACCGGTAACAAAAAGCGCATTTTTTATTGAACTTAAATTAGCCCTAATAATAGTCCTATCTGAGTGAAAAGACCAAGATTTTGAAAATAGCATATGCTCCCTAGGTAACACAGAAAGATCGGAAGAATGAATATATCCCGCTGATGGCGATTGAGTCCCCTTGGCGTGCGCCATGCTTTTGGCTGTTGAAAAAGTTTCTTCAACCGGTAACAAAAAGCGCATTTTTTATTGAACTTTATTTAGCCCTAATAATAGTCCTATCTGAGTGAAAAGACCAAGATTTTGAAAATAGCATATGCCCCCTAGGTAACACAGAAAGATCGGAAGAATGAATAAATCCCGCTGATGGCGATTGAGTCCCCTTGGCGTACGCCATGCTTTTGGCTGTTGAAAAAGTTTCTTCAACCGGTAACAAAAAGCGCATTTTTTATTGAACTTTATTTAGCCCTAATAATAGTCCTATCTGAGTGAAAAGACCAAGATTTTGAAAATAGCATATGCCCCCTAGGTAACACAGAAAGATCGGAAGAATGAATAAATCCCGCTGATGGCGATTGAGTCCCCTTGGCGTACGCCATGCTTTTGGCTGTTGAAAAAGTTTCTTCAACCGGTAACAAAAAGCGCATTTTTTATTGAACTTTATTTAGCCCTAATAATAGTCCTATCTGAGTGAAAAGACCAAGATTTTGAAAATAGCATATGCACCCTAGGGAACACTGAAAGATCGGAAGAATGAATAAATCCCGCTGACGGCGATAGGCTAATGAAAAAGATTCTTCAACTGGTATCAAAAAGCGCATTTTTTATTGAACTTTAATTAGCCCTAATAATAGGCTTAGCTGAGTGAAAAGACCAAGATTTTGAAAATAGCATATGCTCCCTAGGTAACACAGAAAGATCGGAAGAATGAATAAATCCCGCTGATGGCGATTGAGTCCCCTTGGCGTGCGCCATGCTTTTGGCTGTTGAAAAAGTTTCTTCAACCGGTAACAAAAAGCGCATTTTTTATTGAACTTAAATTAGCCCTAATAATAGTCCTATCTGAGTGAAAAGACCAAGATTTTGAAAATAGCATATGCTCCCTAGGTAACACAGAAAGATCGGAAGAATGAATATATCCCGCTGATGGCGATTGATTTCCCTTGGCGTGCCTCATGCTCTTGGCTGTTGAAAAAGTTTCTTCAACCGGTAACAAAAAGCGCATTTTTTATTAAAATTAGCCCTAATAACAGTCCTATCTGAGTAAAAAGACCAAGATTTTGAAAAAGCATATGCTCCCTAGTCCCTAGGTAACACAGAAAGATCGGAAGAATGAATAAATCCCGCTGAGGGCGATTGAGTCCCCTTGGCGTGCCTCATGCTCTTGGCTGTGGAAAAAGTTTCTTCAACCGGTAACAAAAAGCACAATTTTTATTAAACCTAAATTAGCCCTAATAATGGTCCTAGCTGAGTGAAAAGACCAAGATTTTGAAAATAGCATATGCACCGTAGGGAGAACACTGAAAGATCGGAAGAATGAATAAATCCCGCTCACGGCGATTGGCTGCTGAAAAAGATTCTTCTACTGGTAACAAAAAGCGAATTTTTTATTGAACTTAAATTAGCCCTAATAATAGTCCTATCTGAGTGAAAAGACCAAGATTTTAAAAATAGCATATGCTTCCTAGGTTACACAGAAAGATCGGAAGAATGAATATATCCCGCTGATGGCGATTGAGTCCCCTTGGCGTGCGCCATGCTTTTGGCTGTTGAAAAAGTTTCTTCAACCGGTAACAAAAAGCGCATTTTTTATTGAACTTTATTTAGCCCTAATAATAGTCCTATCTGAGTGAAAAGACCAAGATTTTGAAAATAGCATATGCTCCCTAGGTAACACAGAAAGATCGGAAGAATGAATAAATCCCGCTGATGGCGATTGAGTCCCCTTGGCGTGCGCCATGCTTTTGGCTGTTGAAAAAGTTTCTTCAACCGGTAACAAAAAGCGCATTTTTTATTGAACTTTATTTAGCCCTAATAATAGTCCTATCTGAGTGAAAAGACCAAGATTTTGAAAATAGCATATGCTCCCTAGGTAACACAGAAAGATCGGAAGAATGAATAAATCCCGCTGATGGCGATTGAGTCCCCTTGGCGTGCGCCATGCTTTTGGCTGTTGAAAAAGTTTCTTCAACCGGTAACAAAAAGCGCATTTTTTATTGAACTTAATTTAGACCTAATAATAGTCCTATCTGAGTGAAAAGACCAAGATTTTGAAAACAGCATATGCTCCCTAGGTAACACAGAAAGATCGGAAGAATGAATAAATCCCGCTGATGGCGATTGAGTCCCCTTGGCGTGCGCCATGCTTTTGGCTGTTGAAAAAGTTTCTTCAACCGGTAACAAAAAGCGCATTTTTTATTGAACTTTATTTAGCCCTAATAATAGTCCTATCTGAGTGAAAAGACCAAGATTTTGAAAATAGCATATGCTCCCTAGGTAACACAGAAAGATCGGAAGAATGAATATATCCCGCTGATGGCGATTGATTTCCCTTGGCGTGCCTCATGCTCTTGGCTGTTGAAAAAGTTTCTTCAACCGGTAACAAAAAGCGCATTTTTTATTAAAATTAGCCCTAATAACAGTCCTATCTGAGTAAAAAGACCAAGATTTTGAAAAAGCATATGCTCCCTAGTCCCTAGGTAACACAGAAAGATCGGAAGAATGAATAAATCCCGCTGAGAGCGATTGAGTCCCCTTGGCGTGCCTCATGCTCTTGGCTGTGGAAAAAGTTTCTTCAACCGGTAACAAAAAGCACAATTTTTATTAAACCTAAATTAGCCCTAATAAATGTCCTAGCTGAGTGAAAAGACCAAGATTTTGAAAATAGCATATGCACCCTAGGGAACACTGAAAGATCGGAAGAATGAATAAATCCCGCTCACGGCGATTGGCTGCTGAAAAAGATTCTTCTACTGGTAACAAAAAGCGAATTTTTTATTGAACTTAAATTAGCCCTAATAATAGTCCTATCTGAGTGAAAAGACCAAGATTTTAAAAATAGCATATGCTTCCTAGGTTACACAGAAAGATCGGAAGAATGAATATATCCCGCTGATGGCGATTGAGTCCCCTTGGCGTGCGCCATGCTTTTGGCTGTTGAAAACGTTTCTTCATCCGGTAACAAAAAGCGCATTTTTTATTGAACTTTATTTAGCCCTAATAATAGTCCTATCTGAGTGAAAAGACCAAGATTTTGAAAATAGCATATGCTCCCTAGGTAACACAGAAAGATCGGAAGAATGAATAAATCCCGCTGATGGCGATTGAGTCCCCTTGGCGTGCGCCATACTTTTGGCTGTTGAAAAGGTTTCTTCAACCGGTAACAAAAAGCGCATTTTTTATTGAACTTTATTTAGCCCTAATAATAGTCCTATCTGAGTGAAAAGACCAAGATTTTGAAAATAGCATATGCTCCCTAGGTAACACAGAAAGATCGGAAGAATGAATAAATCCCGCTGATGGCGATTGAGTCCCCTTGGCGTGCGCCATGCTTTTGGCTGTTGAAAAAGTTTCTTCAACCGGTAACAAAAAGCGCATTTTTTATTGAACTTTATTTAGCCCTAATAATAGTCCTATCTGAGTGAAAAGACCAAGATTTTGAAAATAGCATATGCCCCCTAGGTAACACAGAAAGATCGGAAGAATGAATAAATCCCGCTGATGGCGATTGAGTCCCCTTGGCGTACGCCATGCTTTTGGCTGTTGAAAAAGTTT